TACACGAAACCCATGCAGCAGCAGCAGCAGCAGCAGCAGCCGCTGCTGCTGCTGCTGCTGCTGTTTCTCTTTTTCGTGTAAGCCAGTACAAAAAATAAATAAGGAAGTTTCCTTTCTCCTTTTGAAACGCCAATAAACAAAAGAGGGGCAGCAGCAGCAGCAACAACAGCACCTGCTGCTGCCGATTTCCCGCAGCAACTGGTGGTGCTGCAGCTGCTGCAGCAGCTGCTGCAGCGGCTGAACTGCGCGGAGTAGCAGCAGCAGCTGCAGCAGCAGCAGCAGCACCCGCGGCGTCGTCGCCTCTGGCAAGCGACAACGCGGAATTCTCTGCTGCAGCAGCTGCTGCTGCTGCAGCAGCTGCTGCAGCAGCAGCAGCAAAGCAAGAAGCATCATTTTGCAGATTTGCTTCTGCGTGGAATTAAACTTTAAAGAAAAACTTTTTGCAAAATAAAGAAAATGAAAAGCACTCATCGGCTCCGCTGTACATACACCGCAACTTAGATCCCCTGTTCCTTTCAACCCGGTCGCACGCAAGCTGCTGCTGCTGCTGCTGCTGCAGCTGCTGCTGCTGCTGCAGGTGGTGCTGTCGCTTCTGCTGCTTCTCTCGCAGCTCCCTCTGCCGCAGCTGCAGCAGGAGCACCGGCAGGAGCAGCAGCAGCGGCTGCTGCGGCCCCGCTGCCGCTGCTGCTGCTGCCGCTGCCGCCGCCGCCGCTGCTGCTGCTGCAGTCAGGCCGCAGCTTGCTGCTTGTTTTGCCTGCGGGCTTCTGCTGCAGCAACGAGCTCGACAGCAAGGAAGCTCTCGGGCCGCGTTTCTCCAGCTTCTTTTTCATTAATTGTAATTAAAATAGTTCTTCCTCTTAAGGGTTTTTGAAACAAAAGAGGCAGCACACTTGCTTGCATGCGATCAGCAGCAGCTTCCACTGCTGCTGCTGCTGCGAGGCACTCCGTTTGCTGCTCCACCAGGCCCGCGAAGATCCCGTGCGGGGTCAGGCAGGGGTCTCCCGCTGCTGCTGCTGCTGCTGCTGCTGCGCCGCCCCCCGCCGCTGCTGCTGCTGCTGCTGCTGCTGCTGCTTCCTGGTACAGTGCATGCGCCTGGCTCGAGTCCGGGCCCCCCCCCGGCTGTATGTACACCCCAAACCCCACACGCGAAGACACCAAATGAACTACAGCAGAGCTGCTGCTGCTGAGGCCCCCCTGGAGGGCCCAGGCCTTCACCATGGGGATCAGGGGTTCTTGCTGCTGCTGCTGCTGCTGCTGCTGCTGCTGCTGCGGGGGCGGGGGCGGGGGGGGCGGGGGCGCGGCCGCGGGCGGCGGCGCCGGCGCCTGCTGCTGCTGCCGAGAGGACGGCTGCTGCTGCTGCGACACCCGCTGCTGCTGCTGCTGCTGCTGCTGCTGCTCGTACTGGTGCGGAGACCCCGGGAAGAAGCTGGAGGCCCGCGGAGACAGCGACTCGTAAGTCTCCTTCTCCACCGCGGACTGCTGCTGCTGCTGCTGCTGCTGCTGCTGCTGCTGCTGCTGCTGCTGCGCGTTCAGCTGCTGGGACTCGCCCGCAAAGCGCACGTGCGCGCCCTGCTGCTGCTGCTGCGCTGCTGCGAAGCTCTCCTCCAGGCGCCGCCTGCAGCTGCGAACTGCTGCTGCTTCTGCCCCCGGATAAGCTGCTGCCAGCAGCCCCATGCTAAGAGCTTCTGTGGAAGGCACAGCCAGCAGCCCCCGCCCGCAGCTCGTTGTGTGCACGCGAATCAGCAGCACCGAACGCCTGCAGAAGCAGCAGCAGCAGCAGCAGCAGCAGCAGCAGCAGCACGGTGAAGGGCTGCAGCAGCGGTTGTGCAGCGGTTGTGCAGCAACAGCAGCGGTTGTGCAGCAGCAGCAGCAGCAGCAGCAGCAGCAGCAGCAGCAGCAGCAGCAGCAGGAGCAGCAGCAGCAGCAGGAGCAGCAGGAGCAGCAGCAGCAGCAGCAGCAGCAGCAGCAGCAGCGCAGCAGCAGCAGCAGCACCGCAGCAGCACCTGAAGAAGGGAGAAAGCGGCAGCAGCAGCAACGGGGGCCTGCCAAAAGCCACCTTCAAAGTGACCCCCAGGGGCTGCATGCGCCGCTCAGCAAAGTGTGGGGCCCAGCCCTTTAGCTGCTGCAGCCGCTGCTCTCTGCGGAGCGACAGCAAAAAGGCCCGGACTCCAATTTCGCCCTGGGAGCTGTCTTGGGCCACGGAGCGCAGCAGCAGCTGCTGCAG